AAGACTAAAAACAAGACTTTAGGTTATCAACCAAGGTTAATGATGTCATCCATATGCCCTTAATACCTCTGGATCAATATCACCCAAGTGACTAAACTTGTAATCTTACTGGTTGATCATAATTGTGACCCACATTATCTCATGATTTTACTCTATAAAACTTCTTTTGAGAAGCGAGCTCACTGGAATCTACTCAGGACCCCTCCTATCTCTCAGAAGCTACTCCTATTTCCCATTCCTTTTGTCCAATAAATTTTCCTGTTCTTAAAAACTACACCAGGGCTGGGGATATGGCTCAGTGTCACAGTACCTGCCTAGCAACTGCAAGGTCCTGAGTTTGACTCCTGGCACACACACAGGAAAAAAAAAAAAAACAAAAAACAGCAAAAACAAACAAACAAAAACTAAACAACAACAACAAAAACACTCCACCAAAAAAAAAAAACCCAACCAGACCTGAGATTCAGGGAAAGTAAACACTAGTTCCAGGTCACGTAGTTAAAACCGGGCTACTGGAGCAGGGGATACAGTGGCATAGCACCTGCCTGGCAAGTGCCAGGTCTTTGAGTTGGATTCCAAAATAAAACAAAAATAAGGGCCGGCCGGGGATTTAGCTCAGCAGCACAAACACCTCCCTGGCAAGCACGAGGTTGTGAGTTTGACCCCTGGTACCAAAACCAACAACCAAAAACTCAAAAAAGCTGGGCTACTGTGTTTTGTTGCCTCTAGACATCCGTATCGCCATACTTGCCAAGCATCTCTCCTCCCAGAGCCTGTGTGTGGCTCCCAGCTGCCCCTGTCCTAGGGCTGATGTGCTGCCCAAGTGCCTGAGCCCTGCATCGAGCACTTGCTCTGGTGCACAGGGCTGGCTCATCCTGTGCTTCATGCTTTCAGATTGCCTGGCCCAAGCCTTGGGGTGTCCCTCCCCACTCCTAGTCAGCACCCCGCTGCTGAGTGTCTACCACTGGCAGTGGGCCTGAGACTGAGCTCTGTCCTTCCTGTGGCCGCTGCCCCTTCCTCCAAACCCTCAGGACACTGCTATGCGGTCTGCTGGCTCCTCTTTGTCCCACCACCCCGCTCTGGCCTACTCTTCCATGCCTGGGACCTGAGAGAACATTTACTCTCTGTGTCCCAGCAACTTTGTATGCAAGTGCATAGCCCGACAGCGTAAGGCTTCTGTTAGAGAGACTTTATTAGGTGGCCCCTCTGTAGGACTTCAAGGAAGTTTAGCACGTGAAGAGGACCAGCTAGAGAGGAACGATGATAGGTCAACCCCAGCTCCAGGTAAAAACATAGTCAGATCTTTGCCACTCCAGAAACTATTGCCTTAACAATATTGTAACCTCAGTGCATGGTGACCCCAGCATTGAGGAAGCTGAGGCAGAGGGATTCTCATGAGTTCAAGGCCAGTCTGAACTACATGGTGAGGCCCTGATTCAAAAAACAAAAAACAAGAAAGAAAGAAAATCTTATTTTAATAAGGTTTATGAACTAATTTGGAAAAAGCAAGTCAAGGCATTTTGTTGGCAGAAGTAACCTGATTAAATGGACAGGTAGTGATGAAAAGGCTTTTTACTTGGGGAGGACACATGCAAAGAAATGCAAGTGAGTTTTTACAGTGACCATGGATTTCAGCAACTTCTATGACTGCTCTTAGCACCCATGGAAGGAAAATCTGTTCAAGTTTCAAGTCAAGCACATCACTTCCAGTGTCTGACTGTGGCTTGCTGATTATGATTCCACAGCACAAAATTCTAAAAAAAGGTCTCTATTAATTCTCTATAACAGAGTTACAAGGGAAAGTCATTCCTACAGCCCTGCAGCCTGGATCAAATGTCAGCTGAGTAGTTTCAGTGTGACTTTATGACCATCTTGTCACAGAATAGCATAAAATGCTGTAACTTTATAAATTGGATTCATCTAGAAACATTAAGAAACAAAGCCAGGCAAATAGCCTTGATTTTATTTGGTAAACTAAAGATTCTTTCTGGTAGCAATTCAATGTGTCAGTGGAGATTTCAGAACAGAAATAGTCGTAGTGTACAAGCCATGATAATAAAAACTTTTAACTATGTTCCTGTTTTTAAAACCTCATTATAACTTGGAACCAAGTCAGACAGGACTGGTATCACTTCTGTCATTATTTGTATTGTTAAATATTTATGGTATTTGTTTTCTCCAAACAGAATGAAGTCAGGAGAGTTTATACGTTCAGAGAGGGCAGAACTTGAACTAGGCTGACCTAGATAAGTAACAGCCTGTAATTATAAACTCACAGCAGGCAGCAAAACTGTTTGTGATTGGAGAGTACAATTGTGTAAGCGTGCTCTGTGAAAAGGAAAAATTCCATCATTTTTCTGCTCCCACCCTCAGCAATTCATATTTTATAAAAGAACATTTTCCCTGGGTAGCAATCTTTTTAGAGCTTAGAATCAAAACAGCCACAATAAAACAGGTGTGGTGATGCTTGCTAGAATCCTCGCACTCTAGGAAAAGAAGGCAGGAGGATCACTAGGTTCCAGCCTGGTATGGCAATTTAGTGAGAATCTGTCTCAAAAAACAGAAGAAGAAAGAAAGAAAAAAGGCTGAGATGTGAGATGCAGCTCAGTGCAAAGGCCCTGGGTTCTATTCCCAGCCAAGGAGAAGAAAGTCATCTTTGGAAGGAAGGGTGAGTCATCCCTAACCCAGGTTCTCTGCCCACGACAGTCCCCCCTTTGACAGGGTCACCTCAGCCTTGCGGAACAAGCACAGTTGTACTGTATTGTGTTACCACTGCAGTGCTGGTTTACCTTGGCTTCTTGGGTTAGTGTCAACTAGGAGTTAGGTTAGGATCGATAGACACTATCTATAACATTGGAAATACCATCTCTTATATCAACTTTGAAGTTTTTTTTTTTTTTGTGTGTGTGGTACTGGGGATTCAACTCAGCGCCTCACTCACTCACTCATTTTAAGGCAGCTGCTCCCCCACTGAGCTTGCTCCCCTGAACTCTCACTTTGAGACAAGGTCTTGCTAAGTCCCCCAAGCTGGACTCAAAACCTGTAAGCACTTGCCTCGGCCTCCTGAACAGCTGGAATTACAGGCATTTCTCACTGTGCCTGAAGGGTGTGTGTGTGTGTGTATGTGTGTGTGTGTGTGTGTGTGTGTGTGTGTGTGTGTGTTTTAACAAATAACACCTGAAGCACATGTATAATACAATCTGCTTTACAAATAGATTTGGTCCAAGTGCCAGAAATTACTCTGGAAGGATGTACTGGTCAAGACTTGATAATCTTGATGGTATCTCATGTCTAAGGTAACAGTGATACATGTGACATGGCCTCAAAATAAAATTTATAAGTAGCCAATTCCTTTAGTTAATTTTGGCAAAGTGAAGTCTCTGATTCAATAATTTCAAAATAAGAACAGACATGAAAATACTAAACTCCTATCCTTCAGTGTCAGCTTTGGTAGATCTGATGGCACCAAATTTTCCTAAATTTCTTTCTATTTCAAGAGTATTTCTAAGTTCACCTGAAACTAAGAAGACCTCTGAAATTCTAATAACACAGTCTTATATTCATGGCAGTGCCTGGCACATGATAAATGCTCAGGAAATACTAGCTGAACATTGAATAAAACAATTTTCAAAACTTTGAGAGCTTGAAGAAATTGTCAGGCTCATCCTGCCCAGCCTCTTAATTCTCAGATAATTCCAAGACAGATTGATTTGGCTGTTCAAAACAACACAGCAAATTTCTGATGGCACTGGATCTAGAAGTCTAGATCTCACCCCTCAAATTTACAGTACAATAACCCTCTCCTCTCCTCTCCTCTCCTCTCCTCTCCTCTCCTCTCCTCTCCTCTCCTCTCCTCTCCTCCCCTTTCCTCTGTCCTCTTCTCCCATCCCTGCCCATCCCCTCCTGTCCTTTTCTTTCCTTCCATCTTCTCTGTGTCTGTCTCTCTCTCTGTACTGGGGATTGCACCCAGGACATTCACATTGAGCCATATCCCTAGCATTTTAAAAAGTTTGTCTTTCTTTCTTGTTTTGTTTTGTTTTGTTTGAGATAGGATCTAAGTCCTTAAGTTACCCAGTCTGGGCTCAAACTTGTGATCCTCTTGCCTCGGCCTCCTTGAGTGCTGGGATTTCAGGTATCTGCCACTATTTGCAGATCCAAAGGCTCTTTTTCTCCTCAGGTTCCTTCTGAGTTTAGGTTTCTGAAGACCTAAGAAGTCTGTAGCCAAGAACTCAGACAACATGAAGGTTTTCATAGCTGTTCGTTATATAAACCGCTGATCAATTATCTGATCAGTTACAGGGAAAGCTGCCTGTGGTGGTGGGGCATCCTGAGTAAGAAATCAGCTTGACTTTTCCCTTGAAAGAACTACCTTTATAGTATCATTGCTTTAACTTGAAATGTTTTGCTAAAAATTAATTACTCACGGCAGAAGTAATCCTATATACAAACAACTGTTTTTGTCTTATGTCTGGAAGGCTCTTGATCCTTCATAAAGCACTGCCTGCCTTACTGTGTTTCTTTTGGTACCAGCTAATTGATCTGCCAGCTGTTGCTAAAGGAAGTCTCAATACACAGCATCTTAATGGTGAGAGCAGGAGGTGCAGAACCCACTCACGATGCCTAGGGCGAGGGCTCCTGCTCCATTTGGTGGGAGAGGTAGTGAAAAGATAAGGCAACAGGGCAGCCTGGGCAGGGGCTTGCCTCTATTTACCACCGTCTCAGGCTGGCCAATAATCTCTACTTCAGTGCAGCCATAATTTACTTGAACAGGAGATGGCAGAATGTATACTTGACCTCAGATACCAAACACTCAAGGTGATGTCAGCCTGCTTTCGTAGCCTTTCTGGTGACTCCAAAGCACAGAACAAGACAAACCTTTCATGGCAGAGGCAAAAGGGTTCGAGGGTGCCTGGAGCTGCTGATTATCTTAGGTATGCCTGTCAGAGGCCCCAGCCCTCCCAGCCTCCTGCTCCTTGGCAGGGCTCGCCAATGTACATTACCTGCCTTGGCTGGTTGACTTTTGCTCCTGAGGACAACAACAATCGGATGACATCCAAGTAACCTCCTTGGGCGGCTAGAAAGAGGGCAGTGGCTCCATCCTGAAGGTGATAAATGAAGTGTTCAAAAATCATGGATCACATTTACTTCAAAAGAAATTAAAAATGTAGATTCTAACATAATTTTCCATTTCCATCCCCTCTTAGGCTTCTATCCTTTTGTCAATTGAGAGGTAGGTTTTAGACATCGAAACCAAACACCTCAAACCTATTGTGTGTGTTTTTCTGAAGTAGAAGTGACCATGGTGTCCCTTCACTGAGGTCTCTCCCCTTTTGTCTTTCATACTCTCTTATCCATGTCTCCCAGGGCGCACTGTGGCCAAGTAGTAAAAGCTGTGGTGGGCTGGGGGCGGTGGCTCAGTGGCACAGCACCTGCCTACCGTGTACTGCCACGAGTTCAATCCCCAGCACCAAAAAACAAAAACAAACGGAAAAAAAGAAAGTGGAATGATGGGGTGATGTGATTAGGAAATCTGCCCCTGAAAGAACCCCCAGGAAGTCTCTCTGCAGTCAACACCTACACCTGTAAACACAAAAGGGCCATCATGCATGAAGCCAAAGAAATGCCCCGCTGTCTCCAGGTTTCCTTTGTAATGAGGGTTTGCGTCTTTTTCTCTTGCAAACGTCTCATCGGGCAACTGCAGCTGAGGGCATTCATTCTCCCTGATGCTGGCTTCATCCAAAAGCACAGCAAGCATCATATGGAGAGGGACAGAAACGTGAACACAGCCCAGCGGAAAACACCCACTAACTACTGCACCTCTCCTAGGGAACACTGGCCAGGTGGGAATCCACCAGGCTTGTCGGGGGAGCGGCCGGGTGTCAGATGCGCTGCTGGACTGCCTCAAGGCAATAATAAAAAAGTCTTAATCAGCCTGTGCGGATTTTTAAGCAGATGCTTGATATGGGTGTAAAACATCTAGCTGCTCTTCCATGTACTGCCCAAAAAGCCTAGCACGCCCTTGGCAGCTGCTAACTCTCAGGAGTTTTTGGAAACAGACTATCCTTGCACTGAATTTTTCACTGCACTGTGAGTTTCAGGTCCTGGAAGTGTATGGGAATCCTGGACCCCTGTCTCCACCTCTCCTCCACATCTCGATTGTTTTTAACAGAAATATTTCACCTACTTGGGTAAGGAGAAGGATCTTAAAGTAAAATGGTAGCTATGGTGCATGAAATTTCTTGAATCACCTTATAAAAGAGGAATTCATGATGGGGAGAAATTCTGTATTTCTAAGATTATGTGTCACTCCAACAGCCTCCTGGAAGAATATTATGAGGACAGATTCTACACACACACACTATCTGGGTTGCTAATTATTAATAGAGATAGTATAAAAAATCACAACTTTGCTTTTTCAAAGACTTTGGCCCTTTCTATTCAAGCCATACAAATATACATAGTATACATCCTCTTCCTACATACAGCCAAAGCACACGTCAGAACCACCTGTTGCTCAAGATTCCAGCTTGGTTGCCTGGAAATTTCTGGCTATTTCTTTGAAGCTCCCTAGATACTTTTAAAGAGTAGGCAGAGCTGAGACTCACTCCCTGAGATCATTATCAACTCAGGCAGCCCTTCCACAGATACTGCTGCAGACTCAAAGAGGTTGTGAGTTTTGCCACTCAGGGGCTTAAGGCTAGCTGCCATCTACATCAAAGGGCCTGTGATTGTCAGAGTTAACTAGGTAAACTCTGGAAAGGATACTTAAAGGAAAACTGCTCACTTCTACACAGCTCATTACCTGGTTATGAAAGCATAGTGCCTAGGTATAGGGCTAAATGTCTAGTTGTAGGATAGCCTAAAATGTGGTTCCTAGATAATCAGAAGCAGAAATTCTTCCCCTTCTTTCCATGAAACTCTATCAAGTTAGTTCATTTCTCCATTTTAATTTTTTTTCCTATAAATGGGAAGAATACTTGTCATAAATCCTATGGAACTATAGCGACAATTAAAGGAGCCCAAAGGTGATGTGCTAATTGCCAATTAGCTGCAAACAGACCCACATTAGCTGAGGAAGCCTTTCAATGGTCTAGGTCTATCTTAGAGTGTGCAAGCACTTCAGTCTTCATTTGGTCTACCTCACTTATCTCAAATACACTGATTTGGTTCCTTTTTGTGCCCTTCCTCACAAATAACTATACAATAGGAGGGTATATTTTGGTTTTCAGCAAGTCTATATGCTGAGTTGTGGGGCTTGTCACAGTATGAATAAAAAAATTTTTTTTTGGTACCAGGGATGGAACTCATGACCTCACACTTGACAGGCAGGCACTTATGCTGCTAAGCTAAATCCCCAGCCCTGGATAAATATTTATCATAAGATTTTTGAAGATCTTAATGCACAGGGACTTGAAATGGCTCAGATGCACAACCACAAAAAGGGATAACAAAAATGGGTAAATGTTATGTGGTTTCTTTATGGAAAAAGCTCATCTGGTCAACAGGTCTTCCCCCCATCCTTCTGATCATTAGTACAGTTTTCAAGGTGGCGTTTCCAGCCTCTACGTGTGATGAAGGAATGAGTGTCCCAAACGTCCCCATGAAACGCACTCACATAGAGTTGGTCATGGATGTTGGCTCCGTGCTTCAACAAGGTCTCCACCACCTGCCTGTGCCCATACTGACTGGCAGCCAGCAGGGCAGTGCCCCCATCCTGTGGACATGAAAGCATAAATGCACTGGAGGCAGTACAGGCACGAGCTTCTCACCAAGACAGAACTTAGGAAGAGAACCTACCCACAGACAACAACAAACTACTTTTTTCCTCTTATCCGTTTTATAATTTTAGAAGCTTTTTTGAGACTGGGTCTTACTACGTAGTTCAGGCTGGCTTTGAACTCACTACGGAGGCCAGGGTGGCCTTGAACTTCAATCCTCCTTGCCTCAGCTTCCCAAGTGCTGGGATCACAGCTTGGCACCACCATGCATGGCTTCCAGAGCAGGGTTCATCTTAAGGACATGATTGCGCTTTATGCTAGGATGACTTGTTGCAGATATGACAGTCATTTCACCAAGCGGTTGTGATTAATTTAGAAACTTCTCACACCAAACGCAAATCATTCATTTGACTCTCAAGGGGAAACATAAAACAGCAAGTCTGTAGCAAGTCTTATCAGTTCCAATTTGGCTTCTCCCATGGCTTCTGGCCAGACAGCCTCTTGACAAATACGGGCTCCTTCCTCTGGTGCCACTGAGTTGTAACTCATGGAGCTTAGGGTGCTTCCATGGGGTGGCGCTCTAAGGCCACTGCTTTCATTGGGAGACAGCAGGCAATGACGGCACATTTCGTGTGCCTCTCTCTGTCCTACTTATTATTTATGTCTGAGCATGTGTCAATTTGTCTAGGTCTCTTTTAAAGTTTGGGCCCTAAAGTAGGGCACTGTAAAGTAGGTGTGCTCTGATTCGGAGTGGGCTGGCTCTCTTCCATCTACTCCACTTTTATCTCTGCAGCCTAAGAATTAGCTCTTACGCCAACAGCCTCACACTGCTGGCTCTCTGACTTTGTGGTCAATGAAAACCACTAATCCTTTTATGCCTAGTGCTCCCTTTTTGGAACAGCATGTGACAATGGCATGTAATACAAATTCTTCGTTCAAATTCTTGTTCCTTGACTTTTTCTAGGTGGAATATATGAATTTCATGCAAAATCTCAAAAAAGTACAACCTTTGGTATAAACGGGTGAATTAATGGTCTTTCTCAGGTGCTATAGAGGATCCCCTTTCCCTGTCTAAGATGGTTGAGTTGTTTGATTCTGTGGATGTTCAAACTAATCACAAATAATTCAAGAATGTTAAATCTGGCTCCAAACAATGAATCATAAATATGACAGTGTGGCTTCTAAATTTGGGAACAGTGCTTTTGTTCAAAGGTGCCCTACCATCGGAGGGGCTGACTAGGAGCCGTGTGGGTGACTGCAGTATGCAGGTGGCCTCACACGGTAAGAGCTCTGGTGTTCCCAGGGTAGGGCAAGGTAGGGGATAGCAGGAGAAGTTCAAGGGCCTTTGAGGTTTCTGGCAAATAAAAGCGTTAAACCCCCCCTAGGGAGACCAGCTAAGAAAAACAAACCCAGGGAGCTGACAGGAAGGCCCGCTTACTTCTTGCCAAGGATCCATTCTGTCTTCCCTTCACCTCCAGGGAAGTACAAAGGAAATAAAGGAGGGATCCGAGGCTCTATTACTTAAAAAACCCCCAAACGCTCTGTATATAAAATAACACCTGACGCTCACACACTTGTGTATAAGTGCATATCTATTTTGTTATTTTCTCACCATATTAATACAGTAACTCATCCTTAAATGTGGGCTCTGTGGTAAATCTCATAAGATGAGCTCCCGGACAGGACGAAGGGACCAACAAAATGCTTATCCAAAATCCATCAGTAGCAATGGAAGGGGCACAGCCAAATCAGGGGTCACAGAGCTCAAAAGTAGCTAAGCAGTTATTACAACAGCTCTCAAGGAGGCGAGTCCTTTCCTTGCCTGTAATAAAAGGGGCTGAGGCCAAACCGCCCCAACCCTCACCCCATGAATTTTGGCTTCCATCTCCTCATCTTAATCCAAGGTAACTATCTACCTCTTTCTCTCCCTCTTTCCAATATGGTGATTTTATTTTTTTATTATAAAGAGGGTAAGATTAAATAGAACAAAACAGAACAAAACAGATCATAAGGAAACAATTTTGGTCAGGTTTTTTTTTTTGTTTTTTTCCTTTTTATTGGTACTGGGGATTGAACTCATGACTGCCTGCTTGCAAGGTAGGCGCTTATGCCACTGAGCTAAATCCCCAGCCCCTATAAGGAAACAATTAAGAAACACAGATTTCAAAGCAAGTCCACTGGAGATCTTCACTGTCTATCTTATTGTCTCTAGTTTTCTTCCAAATAGTTGTCCCCATCTTCACACACATTGAATACATACTGAACATTATAGAACTAATCTAATCAGAACAGGATGATGAAGGCTTCTTAGGTCTTCAAGACCTGACACTGGGGAAGTCAATAATGACTGCCATAATGTCTCTCATTCTCTTCGTAGTAGCTGTCCATATCTTTACGTATGCTGATAGTAAACATAAGAGACTAGACTAATATCACTCCGAACAGTGAATAACAGTATTGTTAGATTTTATATCATAATGCTACAGAATTAGCACTGGGTTTCTTAGTGTCTTTTCTTCACAATATCTGTTCATTACATCGTGCATTATATAATCTGTTCCCATAAACTGCTTAGAAATTCTCCCCATGTGTGAATCTCTACATGTATACCTATTCTTTCTGTATTATAGGGAAAAAGAGATCATAACAAGACAACAAAACAAATTCCTAGAAAAACATGAAATGAAAAAGATATATAAAAACCACAATATTAGGTGATCTATAGTAGTTACTATGCTTTCTCTTGTTATTTTCAAGAGAACTGTCCACATTATCAGACATAATACTATAATTTAACATAGCATTACATACCTATTTTAATAAAAACACAACTTTGGAGACATTGTAGGACTTCAAAAGCAGTTAATAATCAAAACGGAATGGGTATCTTATTACATCTTGTCACCTTCAGAGTAGTTGCCTCTGCTCTTAGACTTGATACTATCAAGCATACCAAATTCAAAAATATGGAATGCTAAAAAAAAAAAAATATGGAATGCTTCATGAATTTGCATGTCATCCTTGTGCAGGGGCCATGCTAATCTTCTCTGTATTGTTCCAATTTTAATATATGTGCTGCTGAAGCGATCACCAATATAGTGATTTTTTCTCCATTTCCTTTCCCTTTCCAATAAAGTGACTTCATTTTTCCTTCTGAAATTGTATCTCCAATTCTTTTATTGATGTAGGTTTTTTAAAGAACTCTCAATAAAAACCTACTCTCATGAGATGTAACAATAGCCAGGTGACATCATGGGTGACAAAGGGAGGCCGGAGATGGGCCAACTAGCAGGGAAAAGTGTTGAGCTGGGCCCTGGGGGGGAGGGGCGGGACCCAAGGCTGAGGCTGTCGGGAAGCATCAAACAATTGCTTAAGGGCAGCCATAGGCCCCCCTGATTCTGAGCTTGTGCTATCAGCTTTCCTAGCTCTTTACCTGAAGAGGTAAGAGAATCTTAAAAATAATTAAGGTAGAAGAATGTCTTTTGTTTTTTAACACACAATTTTGGATTATAAATTTTATAGATTTAATCATAAAGAGAGGAAGTGTTGAAACCAACTCTATTTTGGTGACAGGGTAACACTAAAGCCCACGGCCTCCTGACACTCTCTTCTTGCCACTGACCTAATGGAAACACGTGGGCTTGCTCATCCCAGGCCCTGTGCTCTGTGGGTTTCCAGGAAGCAAACCTGGCTTCTGTACAAAAGATGGAAGCCAGGATTAATTTGTTAGTCAAGGAGACTAAAGCAGCCAAACGGTAACATGAGATTGAGTTGATTTAGTTCAGAAAGGTAAGATTTAAGTTTGTGATGTTTTCTATTTTTATAGGCATCATTTTTATAAAAAAGTACTTTTTAAAAAGAAAATACCAACATGAAATATATTTTGTATGACTGTGGATTAAAGTCTATATTTGAATGCCTGTACATTGTCCAACAGCAGGGACAGGCTCCCTACATGAAATTCAGATTTACTTAACAGCTGGCATTTAACGGGGAAAAAAAAAACTACTGGAAAGTCCCTTGATATCCAAATTCTCACATACAATGGGTGAGAAAACCTAAAAGTTTCCAACTTGACAAATTTTCAAGAACTCTTTTTCTTACGATTAGTTCAGATGTAACCCGATGGTTACCAGTCTCAGGGCAGTTCACATTCTCTTGCTACAAAATATTGTGTAAAATCATTAGCCCAAAGCTGATCTCTATGCAGTCTCGATTTTTTCTATATATCAAAAGTGAAGTGGGAATGGTGGTACATGGCTGTAATCCCATCTAGTCAGGAGGCTAAAGTGGCTGGTCTAAGAAAAAAACAATTAAAAAGAGCTACAGATGCAGCTCAGTGCTGGAGTGCTTGCCCGGCAGGCATGAGGCCCTGGGTTCAGTCCCCAGCACCACAAAAAGAAAAAGAAAGAAACAAAATCAGTAACTTCCTGAAAGGACGGACCATAATACCTTGCCCAATTATGTAAGCTACAACTGTGTATATTTCAGTGAGGGTAGCTGCCTGTCAAACCACCCTCTCTAGAATCTCTTGGATTCTCTAGGATTAGACTGATACTCCCAACAATTCTTATTATAGTATTGGGTTAGTAGTCAAATAGAATAAAGCACATGGGGACAGGGAGTCGGAGGGCCACCTGCTCTAGTACACTTCTTGATAAAAAATTTAGGGTCCCAGTGTAGAAAGCAACCAATGCAAGAAAGAGTCTAAGAAATTCCTCATGAAGTATCCAGTTCTGGGTCCAAAAGAAAAATGTAATGTTTGGAATGGAACCCTGGGGCTCTCCTGAACCATCCTAGGTAATTTTATGAAATCTACTTCCTTCGGCTTGAGAAATTTGTAAAAGCAGCAGCACAACTTTGTAGCACAGAGGAGGAGAAAACTGGTAGCCATGGTTGCTGGAATTCTCCGACAGGATATAAAATAAAAGTGGTTCTCTTACCTTGGTCCTACATTCAGTGGATGCTCCGAATCCAAAGAGAAATCTCACAACGTCATCATGGCCTTGCTGGGCAGCAAAGAACAGGGCGGTTGTACCTGACTGGGAGACAGAGAGGCTGGCGTTAAGGTATTTCACTCAAGTACATTTCATTTATTCATTTTCAAAGAATGCAGAACAGTATCCTATATACAACCTTCCAGCCTAGGACATGCCAATTGTTTCAGTTCCTTGGTCAGCGAGGTAAATAAGGGGAAAGGAAACCTTTATTCTTGGTGAAGTAGGATGAAGGGTGGTGCCTCAAAGGATGAGGCCTTAATTCTTGGATCAAACTTCATTTAGGGTTTTGAGAAGTTTATCCTTGAGTGTCTGGGTGGGGCCTAAATCCAACAACTAATGTCCTCATGAATGAAGCAGAAGCCTCATTATTGGAAGTGTCCATCTGTGGGGAATGGATAAGCAAAATGAGGGCTATTCAGGACTACAGACAATTTAGCTTTTTTTTTTTTTTTTTTTTGAGACAGGGTCTCACTAGGAACTCAGGCTGGCCTCGAACTTATGGCGATCCTCTTGCCTCAGCCACATAAATGCTGGGGTTACAGGCATGTGCCACTATGCCAGGCCAGATTACTCAACTTAAAAGGAAGTAAATTCTGATATGTACTGCAACACAGATGAACCTAAAGATGTGCTACGTGAAGTAAGCCTGTCACAAACATATGGTAGGATGCTGCTCTGGTATCTCAGTCAGTCATAGAACCAGAGAGTACAGAGAGTACAGTGATGGTTGTTAAGGGCCGGGGTGAGAGAATGGGGAGCTCTTGTCTAATGGGTGTAGGCTCTCTATTTTACAAACTGAATAGAGTGGTGATGGTTACACAGTATTGTCAATGTATTTATGCCAATGAGCTACATACTTAAAAATAGTTAAGATGGTAAATTTTATTATGTGTATTTTACCACAACAAAGAATAATAACTAATGCAAAGAATGAAATGAAAGGATATTTGACACAAAGAAGAGGTAATCTGCCCACAGAGGCAGAGGCTGGAGTGCTGTGGCCACAAGCCACTGATGCTGTAGACACCAGAAGGTGCAAGCTGCAAAGAATGATCCTCCCCTGGAGTGGGAGTGTGCTCTGCTCATGCCTTGAGTTTGGACTGCTAGGCTCCAGATCTGTTAGAAACTAAATTCCTGTTTGGTTTAAGCCACATCGTTTGTGGTAGTTTGTTATAGCGGCCATAGGAAACTAGTCCATTTGGCATAATGGGTGGAAAACAGTGGTATTCATTAATAGAGGGAAAAGCATTTTGCTTTCAAAACTTAACAGAAAGAGTAGAAAGCTACTAATGCAAAAAGGAACCAGAGCTATTGTGTGCCTATAATACCAGCACTCTGGGAGGGTGAGGCAGGAGGATTGCAGGTCTGAATTTAACTTGGGCAGCTTGGGAAGACCCTGTCCCAATGTGAAAAACAAAAATGCTAGGGATGCACCTCAGTGTGAAGGCACTGGGTGTAATCCCCAGTACCACACACACAAAATCTAAATGATTTACCCACGAACTTCTCCAATGAAATGAAATGGACTCCAATGAAAAGGGGCTCAAAATATTTCTCCAAGTTACGCTTATTAACAACAGGCTGCTTCCACATTTTCAATCAGTCATGATATTCAGAAACATGACTTTTAGAATCCTTGGCTAAAAGTCACTTTTATAAGCCTGCACCCCTAGCCCCAAGACTGGTGCCCAAACTATTGTGCCACAGGAGCAGAATCGCCATCCTGTGCTTGTGAATAACACGTATTTTCCTACAAAGATGTTCTTCTCTTCCACACCTTAAAGCCAATACAACATTTTCCAAGGAAGAATGAAAACCTTTCTACAGCTCACTGAGACCTGTGCAGTGGGAAGTTCCAACTTGGATGTGAGAGGCTGAGGCAGGAAGGCCCTGCGGACAACATTGACCCCGCTAAGGCTTGTTCATCAGTTTCAGCATCAAGGGGGAGGCAAGGAGCACCACACTGAGGCAGAACAGCTGATGTCTTCCCAGAAAAAACCCTCCACGTCAGGCTGTGCCCCATCAGGAAGAGGTGCATGACCACTCACACAGCCTTTCTGCCTGTGATGAGAAATGACTTTCTCCTTGGTTCCCACAGACACATGTGGGAGAAGATCCCTTCTCCTCTGACCATGGAGGATTCTAGGCTCCAGAATGTACAGAAACAGGTCTGGATGAAGAAACCCTGGGTAGAACAAGGAAAGTGACACTTGACTAGTACCCAGTTTTAGACACTAACAGGGGAGTTGTTCGTTGGTGGAAAGAAAGGAATTATTTTTCAATAAACCTTGTGATTTCTTTGAGCCAATTTTGGGATTACATACCATGAATCATTATGCACGTGAATACAGTAATCTGGAGACAACAGAATTTAGATTTTAGTCTGGAACATGGATAGAAGTCCTAAGTGCATATACTTTATCGCTGAAATCCCGGGCTTCCTGCCAACTACATTTGCAGATTCTGTGCCTGGGAGTTGTAACTGCCACTTGTTACAGCTTGTATCTCGATGTCCCCCCAAAAACCTGATAAGGTCACAGGTGGGGCTTATTCAGAGATGGATAGATCTAGAATGTGTGGTGCTGGGTTTGATTCATGGTGCAAGCTAGGCTCAAGGGAACTAGGATTAAGGGTGTGAGTGCTACCTGCTCTGAGTAACCTGGTAAGATAAAAGGGGCATAAAGAGGTTGTTAAAATCCCTTGTTGCTTTTTCTGTCTTTGCCAACAACACACTGTTTTTCTCCTCTACAAAACCTCTTTGCCATGTGCCACTCTGCCTTGGAGCTGGCCACCTATGGACTAAAACTTCCATGAACTCTGTGAGCTAAATAAACCTTTCCTTCTTTAATTTTGGTATTTTATCTCAGCAATGAAAAAGTAACTAAGATACCACTGTTGCTGCTTAACTACAATAACATTCTTCCAGGATTTTTAGCTGCCACTTTATTCCTCTATCAAGCTCTGTGTACCTAGATTGCCAAGTCAAGAAAACAAGGACAGGTACTTTTTCAGGAAATAAATATTCTGATACTTCAAAATGGTTTAATACTGTGCAAGAGTAAGTTTCAAAGCATGGCAAGGTACTCTTGTTCAGCTTCTAAAATGGGCGAGTGAGGTTGGTCTCCCTCTGGATTTTCTATGGCTCGGATTGGCATGGTCTCAGGAAATTCAAGAGACTGCTGAAAACTCAGGCAGCACCATCATTTAGGCCGCAGCTGAGTACGCATTGTTGAGTCTTCAAGGGCTATGGTTCCCAATGTGTGTTCCAGCACATGAACATTCACAGAGCACAGTCCAAACCCTATCAGTTTTCAGCTCCAAGATTAGTTGAGCCATTGCAATCAAACAGATAAATAAAAACCATATGCTGGCTAGAAATCAAATGTTTTCTTCTCCTCCCCAATCGTTACAGTTGTTCTAAAGAGGTCTTTGAGTATGTTGGAGCTTCCTTTAGGATACTATATCTAAGTACACAGATTTAGAGCATATTGTTTTTATTAGAACAAATCTGTCTTTGCTTTTAAAGTTATAATAAATAAGGACTAGCAAGCAGAGAGGGAAAATAAAAAGATGAGGGTAATTTTAAGCTGTAATTCTAAATGTGTCCAAAGATTTTCTTCCCTGAGGGCAATTAATTGCCTAAGTGAAAAATGACCTAAAACAATGATTTAGTGTTATGGAAATTGCTCAAATGAAATCTGTTAGAAGACTAATTTCACTACAGTCTTTCTATCCTGCTCCTTTGAACAAATCAGCCTTTCTGAAGCAGGCCTGCAGGGAACCAGACCTCAGATTCTGTCAGTCAAGTGTCACTTTTTCCTGTCCATGGCCACCTCCTTCATCACCCAGGCGGTAAAAGAAGGGACTACTGGATGCATCTTGGAACTCTTGACTGTGTCTTAACTTGCTCAACTTAGACATGGTGGTAAAACAGAGCAGCAGGCCAAGGGACACTCCCAGAAGGGACACTCCTAACACAGTGGCGCTGTCGCTGTTGTATGCAAATCCCTGAACACAGAACCAATTTGAAAAGTGGTATTTCGGACCAATGAGAAAATTTGCTATTTTCAATCCTTCATTTGAAAGTGGTGCTGATCATAGGACCAATTAGAAGATACTCTGTTAAACCTTTCATTTGCATGTGGGCACAACCAATCAAAAGACACTCAGACCTGAACCCCAGAGTACATTCAAACACACTAGCCTCTCGAGTGTGAGTTGAGAATGGGTCCTCTGGTGAGCTCAAACTCCCCTGATAGCCCCTGAATGAAGTATAGGCACAGCTCACATTTTAGCCCAATGTTCACCCACATGGTCTTTTTGGGACATCTTAAATACACGGCCAGGCAGAGGAGTCCTTTGAAAACATGGTGTGCTGAGGAGGACTGAGATGTCCTTCCAAGTGAACTTCAAACAACTGATTTACACTTGTGACAAAATGCGTGCATGTTTAAGTAATGTCCTAAGAGGTTTAGGTACTGATATGGGTTTGACCGTGCCCCATGAATGTTCATGTGCTGGAAGCCTGGTCCCCAGTGTGGTGTGGAACTTTCAAGGGGTGCAGGGCCCAGTGAAAGGTAGCCCTTGTGAGCACTGCCTTGGAAGGACTAATGCTGGTCATGTGGAATGAATTAGTTCTCATGAGAATGGGTTGTTATGAGGCAAGGTCATACCATCTGCTTAGCCTCTTCTGCAAGGGGTCATTCTGCTTCACTCTCTGCTTCCCTGCCATGTAATGATGCAGCCAGCAGATAAGGCTTCCCAATCCCAGACTGTGAGCCTTCAAAACTGTGAGTGAAATATACCACTTTTCTTATAGTACTAGATTCCAGATAGTCTGTTAGAACAACACAAAATGGACTAATGCAATTACCGCAGATGTTTCCTACAATGGTCTATTCCTGAACTTTATTTTAGGCAGAATAAACCATGCAATAGGCTTTCAGGAGAAAAGCAATGGTGGCTTTTGTCCTTGCAGCTAGTTCACAATTAGAAAGACTTCACGTTTCCTAGCCTGGCCATTTTTATTCAAGGGCACAACCTGACCTACCTCTCTCTGAAGGTTGATGTCTGCTCCCTGAAGAACCAGCTCCCTCACACAGGCTATGTGGCCAGCATAAGAGGCCACCATGAGGAGCGTGGTGCCATGCTGGATGGAGGAAAGACAGACGAATAGTTAGGACCTCGCTATGTCAGAGAGAAAGGTCCTGGAGAAGTCAGCAGAGATGTCAGCTCCATGCAGAACATGTCCCAGCAGCAAGCTTTCTACAGTGATAAAAGTGCCTCATGAATAATCCTATAATGCAGACTAGATGGAAAGAAGCAAATCGACAAATTGCTAAGGTAGGAATTTTCAATTCACAAATCCATTTCCATGACCTTCAGAAACACAGTCCAAGTGCACCATAGTTATTGCCCTTTTAAGGAAGCAGGGCTAAAATGTTTTCACTTCATAATTTACATTAAAAGATTCCTAAACCAAAATATGCAAAAAAATTGGGTTAAATAGTACTAGTTGGTTTTCTATAGTTAGAAATCTTATTTTTTGCTAATTTTTATTTTAATTAAAAAAATTTAAACTTAGAAATCTTGGACTTCAAAAATGACTCAAGTAAAGGCAAACAGCACTGTGATGAGCTGATACTTCAGAGCTGAAAGTGCAGGCCTGTTGGGGAAAGTCATCCTGTCACTCAACAATATCACCTGGGGACAAGCTGCTTGCAATTACTGGGACCCATTTATTCCACCCTTAAACTGAAGGGCTGGACCCCAAAATTTCTTCTTGCTATGAGACACAAGGACTTGGGGGGATGTTGATGTAACTTAGTGGTAGAACTCACATGGAAGGAAGGAAGAAAGGAAGAAAGGAAGAAAGGAAGGAAGGAAGGAAAGAAGGAAGAAAGGAAGGAAGGGAGGGAACGAAGGAGGATTCAAGGACTTGAGATGTACTATGTGACATGGACTCAATTAAGAGATTTTTATAGCTTAATTTATGGTCACTTCCAAGGGCTGCAAATTGCAATATTAGCCAGCACCTTTGCTATTTAGCAACTCGCCTCCCCAGAGTAAATGGCAAGAGGAAGATTCTGCAGAGATGGCTTGTAAGGTAAAAGGTCATTAAGGGAATTCTAAAGCTGTCTGTGTTTGTTATTTCTGTCATAGCAGAGTTGTATAATCACTGAAAGTAGGGTCTTGGGCACATTAAGAAACCTTTTAAAGCCTCATTCTTTTTATATAATGGAAGAGTATATAATTAGAGTAATGAGGATGATTTAGGCAATGTGCTTAGCATAGCGATGTCAGGTATCAGGTCATTAAGAGTTAGATCAGTAAACGTTATTATCTGGTTTTGGCTGACTTCTGAGAATGGCCACACTACTTTGGGAGTCATTTCCACTTTATATGCAAAATACAGTAGAGTCCTGAGAAACTTCCCAGTGGTGCTTATGATGCTTCTATATCACATGATCTATTTGGTATTTGATGTGAGACTGTTACAGATTCTAAATTCATTACGCAGTTGAACTCTTAACTCTGTACACTCTAGGATCAAGTGATAAGCTTGAATATGAGAAATATGAAAACTTCATCTTGAATATGAGAAATTTTTACTTAATCACGAAATAGGAGAACCTTTGGTACTATGGTCAGAATGTGTCCATCAAGAACACACTGGCTGGACATGGTGGTACAGCTGTAATCCCAGAACTTGGGAGGTGGAGGCAGGAGCATTGCCATGAGTTCAAGACCAGCCTGGGCTACACAGTAAGTCCAAGGCCAGCCTGGACTACACGGCAAGACTGTGTCTCAAAAACAAACAGAAATAACAAAAACTCACACTGAAATCTAACCCCTTTGTGATGGTGGTAAGAGATGGGGTCTTTGGGTAAGTGATTAAGTCATGAGAGTTTTGCCCTTGTGAGCTGGATGGATGCCCTTGTAAAAGAACCTGAAGGGAGTTCCTGGCCCCCTTCCACTAGATAAGGATACAACAACAGGTCATTATCTAGGAGCAGAAAGCAAGCTTGCATCAGATACCAAATCTGCTGGCATATTCATTTTGGATTTCCCAATCTTCAGAACTGTTAGCAACAAATTTCCACTGTTTATAAATTACTCAGCCTAGATAAGTTTGTTAAAGCACCCCAAATAGAATTAGACACTTGGTGTAAAGCCAATCTGCTGGGTTGGATAGTACATACCAGTAATCCCCAAACCCTGGGAGGCTGAGGCAAGACTGAGTCCAACCCAGGCAAGTCAGTGACTTAGTGAAAACTTGTCTCAAAATAAAAAATTTAAAAAGTATGGGAATTTAGATCGGGGCAAAGGCCGTGGGTTTGACCCCAGTATCAAAAAATAGACAAATAAATACAAATAAAGTCAATCTGACTGTAGAAGCTATGAATATTCTCCCAGATAAGAGATGAGAAAAATATATTTTTTTTTAAATCAGGAGTTACATTGGTCTCAAAAATCAATGATAAGCCAGAGGAAGTACAAAGCACTTAATTTGGATATTTAAAAAAGAAAAAAATCTTAGGCTCATCTCTTTGAAGGAGAAGATCAAATAACACTTCTTTAGGGATTATATTTCAATTCTGCACCACAGTCAGTTGATAAAAGGTCAGGTTAGCACAGAGAGCAAGAGAATCAGGAGGCATTATACTAAGCTACACATAATTCAAGGCCTGATAAAAATACAGTGCCCACTTAAATTTTAAAAAAATATTACAGTAAAAGACACACTGTCATTAATCCCTTTAAAATGCTACCGCCCATTGAACACTGTCCACTCCCCACAACCCTGCTGCCATTCTCTGGGCAGTTCTGGAAGTCTTCCTCCTCCTCCAAAAAGTCTTTCAAGGTCATTTTGAGTTTCGGGAAGAGCCAGATGTTACTGAGTGTCAGACCTGGTCAGAAAGGTGGGTGAGGTCACTGTGTATTGTTTTCATTTGACAGAAATTACAGTAAACGTTTTGATCCAACTCAAGACAAAAAGTGGCTGTGACAGCACAACTGAAGACAGGAGAGAACTTCCAGACTGCTTCGGAAATGGGACAATGACGGATAGATGTGTTCCGGGTAAGAGGCACCGTGCTGAGGGTGACTGATGGCAACAAGTCTTTTATTGTGACACATTTTAAAAACTTTTAAACATTTGCCACAGTTTTTGATTGCACTGCATGCGTATTTCCTTTTCTGTTTAAAACCTATCGGTGTGACGTATTTTAATTCTTTAAAGGACTAAGGTCACTTCATTTTATTGACTGATGTTAAGATGTATCTTTAAAAACTGATTTGTGAATACAGGATAAATAAATATTTAAAAAGCAGTAAGTCTAGGACAAAAAGTAAAACATATACATCAATACACATAAAAAGGCTATAAAAAATCTGCCAGTGTACATCCTTGTGGTGAAATGTGTGTCAAATTTTGCTTTGTGGGCAAAGCAAAAAAAAAAAGAAAGAAAAGAAAGTGATCATCACGTACAGGCATCCAGATAGGAGCTGAAGATGAGTGACAGCAAATGGGAACCCTCAGTATACAGTGGGCAGCTTAGAAATAAAGTATTCATTCTTTATTTCTTTAAAGTTTTTTTTTTTTTTTTATGAATTGGGAATTGAACTCAAGATCTTGCCCTTGCCTGGCGGTTGCCAAGCCACTGAGCAATCCCCTCAGTCCTAGTATTTGTTCTTTATAATGCTTTTTATGGGCAGAGTTTGTAGACTGCACATTTTAGACTGAGGACAGTTCCCAAGAAGTTCCACAGGGCCCTCCTTGGCTCTAATGGTGGGTTGCTAGGTAACAGGGCTTGGTCTCCTCAACCAGAGGAAAACCAGTTTCTAGAGATACATGATAATCCCCAAAAACATCCTGGGACCCAATTTCTAGGCACAGGCAGCACCTGGAGACGGAGGAAGCCAAGACGGTGACATTCCAAGAGGAACAAAAGTCTGCACTGTTTCCAAGTTTCTCTTCGGTCCTTAGTCACCTCCAACTCAAGAGGCCTTTCAAAATAACAAGCTGTCTGAAAGGGCCATCATTTTTTAGACTTGCTCCTTAGCTTAAGAAATCATCTTTCGGCGCTGGAGATTTAGCTCAGCGGCATAAGTGCTTGCCTTGCAAGTAGGCAGTCTTGAGTTCGATCCCCGGTACCAATAAGAAGGAAAAAGACAAAAAAAAAAAAAAAAAAAAAAAAAATTTAAAGAAATCATCTTTCCAGAAATCTCCTGATGAAATTACTCCTACTCAGAAAGCCGAGGCAGGAGGACTTCTTTGAGTTCAGGGCCAGCCTGGGTTACAAAGTGAGTTAGTTCCAGGCCAGCCTGCAGCGCAGAGTGAAATGGTCTCAAAAAGATAAAAAAAGTTACTGTTTTCATTGTAAATGAAGGACAATGTACAAACATATTAGTGTTTACACAGGGCCAAATAGCTGCAGATGCCCTAGCTGAGAGAATGCAGCTCTGCCCAAAGGGAGGCAGATGAGCTGGGCGCTAGAAGGCATGAGAATGCGGGTGCAGCAGGGTGGCCTTGAGACAACAGGAGCCAGGAAGAAGTCACAGGGAGAATGGTGGCCACAGAAGTGGTGAGAGACAGAGGCTGTAACGTGACAGACCTCCCTCCTCACCGGGCTGGCCAGCTGGGGGTAGGAACTGGCCTTGTGAGACTAAGACAAGGATGCCCACAATGCCCACATGCCACATCAGCCTGGTTCTGGCAAGGGGCAGATGGTATATGCAAACTGGGATAATTGGCAGGAAGTTTAATAAAAGGCTATTTATAAACCTGGGGCCTCGGTACTAGAAACTAAACCATGCAGTTCAGGGGGGCAGGAAGAGTGTGAGAGGAAGGTGGTGGCTCCCACAGTGCAGTGAAAACACTACTGCCAGACAATAAAAGCTGGAAAGAGCATGCCCTGTTTCCAAGAAACATCGAGGCTCTCGTGAAACCATTTCCATTCAAATCCTAAACCCATCTCTTAGCTGAGGTCCTCCTTGTCCCCAGAGATGTGCAGAAGTCTCAAAGAACACTGCTGGGCCAGGAGGGGGCTCTCTAGGTGGTGCCTGCCAGTGTGCATGGGATCTTTTTAGGCTCTCTTTTTCCTTGCCTATTAGTGGTCTTTGTTTGCAAGAGGCATTGAAGGCCAGGAAGGCTTCAGTTTCTAGTTTTCTGATCCTTGCAGAAAAAAACCCTAACTCCCACATCCATGGCAGCCTGTGTGTGTGCTACATTCTCCTCCCTTTTCTCCTTTTCCCTCTTCTGTTCCATTTCTTTCCTCTCCTCCTTCACTTCTTCCTCCACTCCCTTTCCCTTGCCGCTTTCCCCCCTCTCCCTCCCTTCCTTCCTTCTAGTGAATTATTTTATGGAACAGCCTTTTCTTGGAACTGCCCATCTGGGTCCCAGAGAAGTGCCTCTTTCACTACTTCTTTATGCATGCAATTGTTTGCTTTCTGACACTCCTGAGTATGTTTGCACGTTTGCCCAGGATTCTTTGAAAAGGCTAAAGCAAGCAAGCACATGGACAAGGAAATAAGCACTGCAAAGGGAGGCGTATTGATGCGACGCTTTCAGCTCTCATGCAGGTGGGTGAAAGGGATGCTCTGGGCATGTAGATTCCTGTGTCCCTCCATACGCTGTCTCTGCAGTCCACATCCACCCGTCCGCTGTTCAGCAGCAGCTTCAGCAGGGCCAAGTTTCCTCTCTTTGCTGCCCAGAATGCAGCGTTGGCAAGTGGAGTTTCCTTCTGGAAGAGCAAAACCCAACAGGCTCTTAAAATGGACCTCAGCTAACACAGCCACCTCTATGCCTGAAAATAATACCGCTCAAAAGGGAGAGTTCCCAGCTGAGTCATATCATTTGGAAGACTGCTCCCCCAGCAATAGATGATTGTAAAATGCTTGGTTGTGGGAAGTGCTTTGACATTAGACACGGGAGCTGCAAAGGTGTCTGTAGAGTTGATAACACTGCCGTACGCATTGATAATGTTGCAGCATTACTGCCGTGTTTCCCACCAATGTCTCACTTTGCTGCCTTAAGTCTTTGTTCACAGTTTCCTTTTCACTTAAAGTGAACTTCCCCATCCTTCATGGCTAAGAGTCTGTTCAAATGCCATTTCCTCCTAAAACATTACAAATCTCTCTTTCCCAGCACGCAGAGCACAATCTTGGCCCTCTCTGACCTCCCGAAGGAATTGATGAGTACGTTTTCTATGGCTGCAATACTTTCAGAAGCAGCTCCCTGGGTGAATGCTTCACTCTCCCTCCACCCAGTTTCTACGGCTTTCGCTGCAAAGTGCCAGAAGTTTCAGCCGACAAGGAACCGTGGGCAGAGACTGCCCTCTGAGTCCTTCACTCCACTGCTGGGGAATTTGAAAGTGGTGAAGTCAGTGCTGGCCATGCCTGTGGGAGGCACAGGACCAAAGAACAAGTCTGCAGGTACAATTTCAAGCTGGGGTGAATGTTTCTTTAGAAGAAGAGGATGGGGTGGAGGACCAGCCAGCTCTGGGGTTCAGGCCAGCCCTGTTCACACGCCTTGACCAGGGAGTCTCAGGGCTCTTCTGCTTCAATGGAGATCACAGGACCCACCAGCCTTGACACTTACCGAGAGCATTAAATGGTATGGATGAGCTGCCTGACATGGTGCCCACCACCCCTAAATGCTGGCATGTGCTCATTCCATTTTCTTTACAAAGTCAGAATCAATAGGCAAAATTAAATTTCAGTACTACACAAATAGGGAATTTTTCCCATTTCAGGAAATATTACAGTATTCACATTAATAAAAGCATATTAGGCAGCTAAATTATATAGAAGCTAATATACGGTCAGAGAGGAACTCAGTCCCCAAGGTTGGTACACACACACTAAAACAGAGACAGCAGAATTGTGGTTAGAGACAAATCTGAAGAGAGCCTGGCCTCAGGATGGAGATGCAATAACCGGGTCTTCAAGATAAACTGCACCTGACATTGTACGGTAATTAGCACCACCTGGCCCACTGGGCCCAGATAAGTGTCAGGTACATGGTGGGAGAGAACATCTGGACCCAGACTCCCCTCCCTGCCCCACAGTGCTTTTGTTCTCTCCATGTGTGCTTGCTAAGGGACTCATTTCCCCAGCGGATCAATACTAGCTGAGCAGCTACACTCATAGTCCTACAGCTGACTGCAGTTTGACCTGTTTTGTGATATTGCGGTATAAATCACCCCTGACAAATGGCCTTGTGCCCACTTTTCACAAGCTTTCTCTTAAACCTTTCTTATTCTTAATCTCCTGTCTCTTGGAACTCATTCTTTGATACCTGCAGGACATGGACTCAGCACATGTAACATCTAGCAGGTTGGGAGTCACATTTTTTGAATACCAAAGTACTTTTTTGGGGGGTAAAAAAACCCAAACAGACCTCAAACGCAGATGCAATGTCTTTTAAATGCAGTCATATGCTACATAACATCTTGGTAGCAACTGGTCACATACACCATAGTGGTCTTTAAAGATTATATTGCCTAAACTGGGTGTGCAGGCCTGTAATCCCAGCACTGAGAAGCTGGGAAGATCGCAAATTCAAGCCTAGCCTGGCAACTTAGGGACTTAGCAAGATCCTGCCTTCAAAAAAAGAGAGCAAGGCCTCCAGATGTAGCTCTGTATGAAGGCCCTGGGTTCAACCTTTAGTAAGAGAAAAGAAAAAAAAATTACATTGCCTAAGACGCTGTAGCTATCTTAGAGTGTGTAAGTACACTCCATGATGTCCACCCCTTCTCAGAATGTACCCCACTGTGAAGTGAAGCACTACTTAGATGTGGGTTGGCCTTCTGTGCTTTCAGTAACCCTCCATCAACTGTGGCCCAAAATATTAAATGTAAGACTGCAGAAACAAAAACTGATAAATTCTGAGTTGCACTCCATTCTAAGCAACATGAAGTCTTACACTACCTTGCCTGGAGTTTCCTGCTGTTTATATGGTGCTGATCTGTTAGCCACCCCAGTTATCAGATGAACTGTACTTACAGTTCAAGTTATTTCATTTAGTAATCATCCCAAAGCTTAAAAGTAATGCTGCCAATTTAACAACAGATTGTTATAATTGTGTTATTAGTTATTTGTTGGAGCTGTTGAAGCTGAAAACTCGTTACAGGGCTATGGTGTGGCCTGGGTGCGGCTGAATTGAGAACAATGAGACATCTCAGGGGACAAGACAGGCCACAGTTGAGGCCACCTGGAGGCTTTCTAGATAGTTTTCCTTAATTAGCATCATTTGTTGCTCTGAAGGGTTCTTGAACCCTTCCCAAGATCCTGCTCAGGTTTCCTGCATTTTCCACTCAACTCCCTGCTTGTTCTGATTAAATATGGGCTGCCCAGGGTCAGTTGGTCAGTTGGCTAGCAGAGTTATGAACTCTGCAGAGGAGTTTTGTGGGAAGCCGCCTATGAATGGCGCCCATTTCCTGCTTCCGGGTTCTTCCCGGCCTGAACAAGCCCGCCAAATTGTCATATCTGCCCAGTTACCCGTGACGCTAGCCTATCAGCTTGTTAGGCGCGCTTCTCTGTGATTGGATACTGCTTCCCCTTATAAGAGGTTGTTCCTGCCCCCAACGGCGGAAGAGGAAGCAACACTGAGGGTGGCGGACCTTGTCAGGTCCGGTTCGCTGTACGTAATAAAGTTTGAGAGCTGATCCTGCTCGAGTTTGGTCTCCTGTCTCCCGCGGCTCCGGTCATCTGGTGGCCCGCACGGGGAAGGTTCAGCGACGCGCGGGCGCGGCTGCTGTCACCTGCGGTACGACGGAGAACCCGGCTCAATAACAACGGAAGGCCCCGAGCACCTCTTCTCTTCACCCTGATCAGCTACGTGAGATACAGCGGTTCCCGGGACAGGTGAGTACTGAATCGCCTGGGTTGGGTGGACGCACCTAACAGATTTTGAGCGCCACACGGGTGGACGCCGGTCTTTTTTTTTCTTTCCCCTTGCATTTGTTTCGCTTTCGCTTTGCCATTATGGGCAACGCTGCTCGCAAACCCCTCGCTGACTCCCTAAGAGTCCTGCTGCGGACCCGAGGCATCTACATAAACCGGGTCACCCTTTCGAGGTTTCTGGATAGTGTTAATGAGATTGCCCCCTGGTTTTGGCCCACGGGCTCTCTAACCCTCCCGTCATGGGAGAAGTTAGGAGGGGATCTTAGATGCGCCCGAGAAGAGGGACGCTTGGATCCCATGGTTTTACCCCTGTGGGAACTGATTAGGGCTTGTCTGACGGATAAACAAACCCCCGGGCTTTGCTCAGCCCGACAGGCTCTTGACAAAGCTCGATCCGAGTGCTCGGAGGAGCCCGAAGTCACACCTGACTTTGGGCCTCCAGAGAAACACAAGGGCTCCGATTCTGATTTGGATTCGGAGGGCTCAGAAGAGGAGGTCGTCTTTGCTAAGCATGACCCTCCTACACCGTTAAAAAAGGAACTTAGGGCTCGGGAAGATAAAAAGGGGAACCAAACACCACCCTGCCCGAGCTACTCCGCTTCGCGGGAGGAACTTAGGCCCTTCCGCTCCTTGGCAAGCTCGCGACCCATGGTCGCCCCCTTTAGGACGCCAGGCCCTGCACCGCCGTGGCCGGAAGAGGAGTTGCTCCCTGGGCTGCCACCTCCACCCGTGGCCGCCGGAGGGCGCCCACAATCCATGGCACCGCCCTGGTTAGAGGGAGAGCTATTTCCTGGGTTACCTCCTGCGCCCCCTTCTGGGGGAGGAGGAGGACGTTCCTTCCACCAGAGGGTATGGTCGCGGCTTCCCTTTGAGTGTCCCGGTCTCCATGCATTCCCGGTACAAGTAGGAGGCAGGGGAGGAGGAGGATATTATGAGCCCTTAGAAATTAAACAACTTAAAGCTATCAAGGATGCAGTTTCAGCTTATGGGCCCAATACACCATTTACCATGGCGCTTTTAGAGGCATTGGCTGGCCTGTATTTAACTCCGGGAGATTGGACCCAGCTGGCGCGTGCCTGCCTTTCCCCCGGACAGTATTTAGATTGGAAGTCTTGGAATGAGGAATTCTGCGTAGAGCAGGCGGCGGCTAACCGGGAACATGGCCAAAGAGATTGGAACAGAGACATGTTATTAGGGCGAGGAGCTTTCGAGGAAGATCAGACCCAGTACCCTCGCCAGGTTTATGAACAAATCAGTCGCTGTGGCCTTCAGGCCTGGAGACGGCTGGCTGGAAAGGGAGAGCATACGGGCCACCTCACAAAAATTTTACAACAGCAGGGGGAGCCCTTTTCCGATTTCGTGGCCCGCATGCTTGAGGCCGCTAACAGAATTTTTCCAGACGCTGAGGCGGCTCACCCTCTCATAAAACAACTGATTTTCGAACAGTGCACTAAAGAGTGTCGTGATGTCCTAAGGTCCAACAAAAATAGGTCTTTAGAAGAGTGGACATGCCTGTGCCGTGAACTGGGCGGCCCGGTAACTAATCACGGGCTCGTTGCCGCCATGGTCGCTGCCCTTCAAGGCGCTGCCAACGGAGGCAAGCCTCGGGTAGGGGGCAATAGAAATAAAAATAGAAACAACACTTCTTGCTTTGGCTGTGGCCAACTAGGACACATTAAGCGTAATTGCCCCAACAAACAGATCGGGCAGGGAGGAGCCCCTGGCCCTGGATTATGCCCAAGATGCCAAAAAGGTAATCATTCAGCAGCCGAGTGCCGGTCGATATTCGATAAAGATGGCAATAGGCTTTCAGGACGTCCAGACAATCAGCCAAAAA